CGAAGGGCGGAGGTCGGGGCGCCGAAGGCTGGGGGCGAGCGCTTGTTGACCCGGTAGTTCTCCGTTTCTGCCTGCCACCTAAAATGTACTCAACTCGACCGTCGTCGGTGGAAATGGTACTCCATCCTCTTGACCCGAACAAAGAGAAAAGTTTCAGATCTAAAAATATGTATTTAAATTAAATTTCAAAGGGCTCTTTTCATAGCGAGTACGAATGAATGTCTCGGTTCCAGCAGCCAATGGTTTTGAATTTGGTTGAAAGAATTGTCCTATTGAGTCTCAAATTGTAAATATTTATACATGTACATTTCCAATTGAAAATTATTTTAATGGAATGATTTTCCAGACTTCGAGCACAAATACACTAAACAAACATTTTCTAATAGTTTAGAAAAGTAGTTGATTAATATTTCAAATTACTTTCGTCTTTTATTAAGATTTGGTCCAATCATGAAACAAATTAAGATATGATTTATATTTTAGCGTAGGACATTAAATTTTACATTTTAGACATGGTATTCATTATGATATAATATATTTCTAGAAAATCACCATTTTTCCTAATTATCGGTTTATTTAACATTGTGATTCGTTTATCAACGGTGGCAGTGTGGCTGACTTATTACTTTCAATAATTACTATAGTCATTCTCACTTAAAGTAAACAGTATAGGAATGAATCATTTTGAAAAAAATATTGTTACTGGAACTCCTGTGAATATTGTGCTTTGTCCACAAAGCCTGTCAGCTATGACGGTAGATTGAATGTTCTACGTATTTTAATTACTCTATGCGGACAATAAATATTTTCAAAAAATCCTTCCCGAGAATAAACAACAAGGCATCGCGTTTCAGAAATGACTTACCAGAGCGTTTTAAACCAGACGCGTGCCAAATTTCGGGAAGAGGCGGAACGAATTCCCGAAACGCCGGCTGAGTTGAGTACTACATTCCCAGCGCTGGGAAACCCTTCCTCCTCCACCCCCACCTGATGCGGCGCGGCGCGGTGCGGTGCGGGGCGGGGCGGAGCGGGGAGGGGCGGCGCGGCGCGGCGTCGAAACGCGATGCCCGCGCTCCGCACCGGGAATAAAGCTCTGAGGCGCACCTGACGTGGGTCACAGGTTCGACTGCGGTTCGGGCCTGGGCGTGGTGCGCTCGGAGGAGACGGTGCTGCTGAACCAGTGGAACCGCCTCACCCTCTACCGCCACCGCTGGGACGCCTGGATCCAGCTCAACAACGGCAAGCACGTGGAGGGCCGCTCCAAGGTGAGTGGCGCGCTCTGGGCGGGAGCGATCGCGCGGCGCGGCAGCAGCAGCAGCAGCAGCGACGGGCTAATTGCAATTCGCGCACGCGGTCGCGGCACGCCTCCGCCCTCGCCGAGCAAATTACTAGCTCCCGAGGATTCCTTGTTGCTTAGCTTTCAGTAGTCGACGGGAGGTCAATTTGGTCCGGCGGCCAAGTGAGGTCGTTTGTTGCGCGCGAGGGAGAAAAATCTTTTCCGCCGCGGTGCAATAAACCAATTACTGTCCAATAGCGCGGAATCCACGAAGCATATAAGCCTTCTGTGAATATTGTGCGCCAATAGATTGAGTCGCTACGTGGAACGGAATCAGAAGCAACAGAGGGTATCGTTATTAGCGTTCTTTGACATTTCAGTTTCATTGGACACAAATGTTTATGAAATATTCGTAAAAAGGGGGAAAAATATGTATTAGCTTTGCATTACTTCATCAAGTTTCGAAATACAGACGTACAATTACCAGAATTCCAGCAAAGCCACACACATTTCATTTTGGGTTTTAAATTTCATAGAGCGCTGTTAGTTTTGCAGGGAAAGAGATTCTTTAAAATACAACGAAATGTTCAATCATTTTCACCAGGAATACCTTGGATAGCAATTAAAAATGAATTAGTCAAATCTGATATTCAGGCGTTCAGTTGTATCACGAAATGAAATACCGAATTTCTGCTAAATATTTGATCAGATAAAAGGATTATATTCAGTAAATGAATTACGGGATTGTATGGGACTTACTAAGCGTTTTGGAATGTTTTGGAGATTTTGACCTTTTTAAAAGGATAAATGAACGTTCGATCTGTCAGTTATTCTCTCGCAACTTGCCGACATAGTATGAATGATTGCTAGGATAATTTATTTCAAATAACACTTCTAATATGTAAATGTTTATAAACGGCTTAACATGAAGTTATTTCGTTAAAGGTTGCAGTTATATTACACCTGAAAAAGATCTATAGAACAATTTTATAGGTTTATGAAATGGAGTTTAATTTTCTCCCAGCCTCGTTGTATGAAGTAGAACATAAGAAAGAGACATTAAGATGAGAGCGACAGCATTTCAAGAAAATATGAAAAGCCGTCATAAATTCCATTAATTAAAATACATTGTATCTGCACATTTTGATATTAATTATTATTCTGAATAGTTATGAAACGCCTCAAGTCATTGAATAGTGTATTTATTTACTTATTTATTTAATGTCAAAAAAGTTAAAAATGATGTGACGTACAGTGGGGAGAAGTGCTTTTGGTATTCAAAATTATAAGTTATACAAACCTTTTAGAATATTGCTTCTGAAACACTCCATTTACATTTTTTATTTGTTGCCATTTAAACTAGATAAATTTCATTTGAACTTATATATTTTTAAGTTTCTCCTTTTTAAGAATATACTGTCAGTTAATATTGTTTTGTTCCTTTTCCGATGTAGGGAACATTTAAACTTTTGAAACGGCACTTCTGCAAAAACGTAACAGAGTATATCTACGAACACGTAGTAAACAACAGTACGAACAATGTTGAGTCTAACACTGCTCGTGTTTTGAAGTCGATTCTTTAACTGGGATTCGCGTCGAATTGCATGGTTGCGTCATTTTTTTCCGTGATGTGGCTTGTGCGTTTTGTGTTTACGTGTTACAAAAGGTGTGTCCTATGCCATACAAGCCGCATGAAGGTATCGCTTTCCGTGTCCTGTGAGCACCTACCTACCGACGCCATATGCTTTCTCCTGTCATCGTATTACGCCTGGCCCCGAGACGACAGGGGTCCCGTCGAACATCAGTCTCTTTGAGATTCTTCGGGGAATCTGCGAAAGATCACGATCTGCGCAAGATCAAGAGCCGTTATTCCCAAGGCCCTTGTATTCTTGTTAGTGCGGGCATCTTCCTTTCCCCGTCCTTCACCTTGCCCCCCCCCCTCCCGCTTCTCCACCGGCGAGGTATCGTGTGCGCTTCTCGGAGCATCAGAAGCCCTTCAAGAGCGGCGGAGCTGCTCGGCGACGTCTGGGCCCCTCCTCATCTCCCCCCTCCCCCCCCTCCCATCGCCCATCCCTCTCGACGGAGCTCCGCGCTTGTTCAAGTTCCGTCGACGCACCAAACGTTCTTTCTTCGCAAACCGCATCCACCTGCAGCTTCTTCTCCCTCTGCAGTCTTTATTTCCTCCTTTATTTCCTCTCTTTTTTTTCATCCATATGTTTTCAACCATTATCATCTTTCACTTTTCCACATCGCAACTACTCTTATGTCTCTTGTGCACCGAGCTTCATATTATGCCTTCAGATTCTTGTGCCCTTCTTGATTCTAGAAGCTTTCTCGTCCCTTTTTTCTCTTGCCCGCGGTTCTTTTATGATTTCTTCTACTTTCTTCTTCGGATGCTTACTTCTCTCCTACTAGTACTTTTTTCCTCGATGTTGTTTCAAATTCTGGCATTCTATCAGTTTTACACTCCTCCTTCTCACAATATCTCCTCTCATTGGTCGAAATTACCCGTCCGCGTTCCAACTTCTCAACTTATTACATTGAATTTCGACGTCATTCGTCTTTTCTTCTCATCTCCACTTATTCACTTACCTCCGGCGTTCCACGTCTTCGATCTCCGTCGCTGTCGCGATGCGGCCCCGCTCGTTTCAGCGTCTTCGAAAGAGAGCCACCTCGCCACCTCGCGGATCCTGCGGAGGCTTCCTCGCGCTCCGGAACGCCGCCCCCAAATTACGAGCAGAAAGGGACGAAATGATGTAAGATCATCCCCGACTTTAATTTTTCTTTAAAATATGCATGTGGTGAGGGGAGCGGGAGGGGAAACCGACCCGAGCGCAGAGGCCGCCGCCCGTCTCCGCGAGCCGATTGCGTTGGGGCGGCGGCGTGGGCGGCGGCGTGGGCGGCGGCGGCGGCGGCGCGTGTCTATTGGCGGGCGCCGCCCCTTTCTCGGCCCCCGCGCCGACAGCCTCTCTCCGCTCCAGCTCTGCGCCGCCCTCGCCGCACACCGGCCCGCTGTCACACAAAGATTCAATTGAAAAAAGCGCAAAACCTGTTACAGCCAAATTCGTGTAGCTTTGCGGATACAGTGTGTGTTCTACAAGAAGTTACGAGATGCAACAGCTAGTTAAAACGTTAGCTCGGGAATTGCCCAGGCTGAAACTCTTCACAATGGAAGTTAGTTTGATTCGAAAACGCATTTAATAGTCACGTCCAGTACAATAATGCAATGATGAAGCACCTCGTGTTGTTTAATCCAATAATGGGTTGATACCTTTTATCGTTCCGCAGTATGCAACAATATACTATTTTTATGATACATTATCACGACCCACCCACTACATTGATTCTCTGTTATTGGCAGATTCATCCCGCACTAAAATTACTTTAATTATTAGTTTGTTCATTTTATAAATGAATGAGCATAATAATATACATCGATTAATTGAGAGTTGCAATAATGGATGCTTAGCAGCTGTATTAACGGTTTTCATTAATGGACTAATATGGTGCTGTCAAATGCGCATATTATTGATTTACTAGCGTACTACAATAGTTCAGAACGCAGACTCAGTTGAAATACGCTCTTGTCAATTAATTGTTTTATGTACGTTACTGTAACATGAATATATATCACAATATCTACGGTTTATAGTGATAGAATAAGGGCTGATATGTCGGGGCTACGGCGGGAGCGTTTTCAAAGAAGTATGGTCGAACTGGTCGAGCCACATTTTCATGAGTTGTACCAACAGACCTAAATAAGAAGATAAAGTGATAATGGTATAATTTTAAACCTATTTACATCTCATGAAATTACGTATGGGCGGTGGCAATAGTATAAGGGTTAGCGTATCGAGTTGTATATCTAAGTTCGCAAGTTCAAGCCCGATCCAAGCCGTGCAATTTTGGGGGCGAACAAATCTTTCCTACGCCTTTCTTTGGAAGGGAAGTAAAGCCTCCCATGTTAGTAGATTTACTGCAGGTAAAAGATCCTCAAGCCTTAATGAAGCCTAAACCTCTGATCTTAATTCAAAATCGCTTGTTTTGTCGCTCAAGAAATTCCACCTTTCTCCGCTAGTTGGTGAAAGAAGCGTAGCGAAATTTGCGGGGTTAGACGGAAGAGCACACCTAATGGCAAAGTAAAACAAGGCATCAATTTAATTCAATTATAAAGAAGAAAATACTAGATATATACTTACGTGAATCCAATTTCTGACAAATTTTGTTAACGGGTCGCTGCAAAAGGAAATGAAACTTTTAGTAGTATCTTAATTCTGAGGAGAAATATTACTGTAACGTGGCAGTCGTATATCTCTCATTATAAATTGTCGTTGAAAGTGTATACAAACCTGAGAAGTTTCGAATGAAAACGTGACACATTTCTTTTAGTTTTTTAATTTATACATGTACATTTTTAAAAAATCTGTTAAATATTTTTTGCTAAATTGCGGAAAATATGCTACGCTCACATTCGGTACAATTTTGGCCCACTGTGGGTCGCCCTGCGGGCTGCGTAATGCACGTCGCTGTTTATTTGTCGCTGCCCCGGGACGCTGGGGGATTGCTTCCACGGCTCTCGCTCTGTCGGCCACGGCCTCCCGTCCTCGCCGCTACCTCCTCCTCCTCCTCCTCCTCGTCCTCCTCGTCCTCCACCGCCGCCGTCATCGCCACCGCTCGCCACCACGTCGCATGCCTCTACCCCGCCCTCAATAACCGCCACCCCCGGGACGCGTCCACAAATAAACGCTACCCCCGGTCGCGTAAAAAAACACGTCGCCCGCCCGCGCGCGAGCGAGCGGGCGCGCGCAAGCCGCGAAAGGCCGGCCTCGAAATAACCTCGGCGGCCGGCGATGCACGCGCTACGAGTAACCAGCGCGCGGTCGCGGGGCGGGAGGGGTGCCTAAGAGCGGGGGCAGCGCCGGAGGGTGGGTTGCCGGGCGTCGGGGGCGCCTTTGGTGGGCGAGTGCGTGATGACCGAGGGGGCAATCCGCAGGAAAATAGGGGAGGCGCGCGTGAGTGGTGCGGCTGGTGGGACATGATAGAGAGGATGTAGAGTGCGGGAGATCGTTGATGGAGTGCTGGAATTTTAGATTGACAACCGGGTGTACGGAGGAAGTTGACTGAGAGGAGGTTGAAGTGGG